TATATATATATACGTATATGTGTATATATATATGTATAATTTATTTATTTATTTTAACAAAACATGAAACAGTCACACTAATGTAAGAATTGTGTGTTTGTCTGTCCTCTTTCTTCTTCTCACATGTAATTGTGCACATTTATGTTTCCAGATATTATTCATACCTAATTGGCATCATAACTCCTCAATTTTTCTAATCCTGAGAACAACTCCCTGCTTAATATTTAATCACACACAGTAATACAGCCACAGAGACGGCTACTAAATTTAGAATTTACCATTTTAAAAGTCACACTGAATTTCCTGTTGAAACAGGATGTTGAAGACAAATATAGTCAGAAGAAACAAAGCCACACAAACTCACTAGATAAAAAAAAAAAACATTTTAAGTTTTATGTTTTAGTGCAAACTGTACATATATTATTAAAGATTATAGATAGAACACATTACATGGCGTAATACATGGCCAGGGAACCAACAGGTGGCAATAATGTTAACCTTATTGAGAAATGTGGGACTTGACTTGGACTTTCGGCAGGCACTACCGCTATCAAAGTGACCAGGACTCCGTACCAAGATCCTGCAGCATTATCGTAGTAACATCACACAGAGATGCTCCTGAAGGCGTTTTTACTTTTGAAGAAAACTACTATGAAAACACAGTGAGATTCACAGGAAAGCTGCTGCCAGCCAGACACTCACATGGGCACTGAGGAAATGCAGATTCAGGCATGAAGCAGAACAGAAGTGACCCTTGTATTCAGGAGAATTGTGTTTGCTTTGTGTGACGCATGAATTTCCTTCACAATACTGCATGTGTTTCCTTACGTGACACTTCCTAAACGTTTTAATATGGTTGACAGTCGTGTGTTTTTAACTTGAAGGTTCTCAGTCCAGGCAACCGAGAGAGAGCAAACTGTCAGATGATGACTCGGGTTGTAAACAAACTGCCAGTTTATGATCTAAACACACACAAGTGTACAGTAGGTACATTAAAGTGGAACCATCAAGTTCTGCAAAATCAGATTGTGGAAGTGTACAGTGGACAGATTGGGAAGTCATTTTGTTATTTATTGATACCAGTACCACGGTGGATTCTGCTCATCGGTCCCATTCTTTGTCGATTCCCTGACTGATTCCTGATCAATTTTCTGTGTGGAATAAAGTAGGCCCACACAGGCTTTCAGTTTTATCATCTGAGTCTGAACACAGAGTAGAATTATAGTAGTTTGAGTTTTCTTTGTGAAATGAAGCCGCGCTTTGGACCGTTTCTTCCTTGCCGCCACAACTCCTTGTTGCAAGTTTCCAGCAGCGTAGACACGAGTTTGACGTCATTGTTTTGCGATGCTCAACTGTCAGAAAAAAATGCTTCCATTTATAAAAGGAATTGATAAGCTCAATGGCATATGATTCCAATGGATTGGACAAAACTGGACCCGGTTCTCAACTGGAACCGGTTCTCGATTCCCATCCCTGCTGATGCCACGGCTATGCTTGATGTTCTCTGAGTTGGTCCCACTAATTTCTAACTTGCAACTGAATGGCTGCTGAGTTACAATAGCTTGTGACTGATGACAGTGGCTGGCTTTTTCATAACATCAGCAGAATATCTTTATCTTTATGTAAACTTATGAGCACAACTGTATATATAACTACGCCTGTCCAACTTCAGAACACAGTAAAACCCATAAACTTTGTGTGTCTAATCTGTATCTAAACAGATTACATTTATCTAAATTAGCCTCCTGTTAAAACCTTTAATTCCACTCATGTCTTATTGCACGTCTAAGTGGCGTTTAATTAGTATACAGTTGCAATGCAGTGGACAAAACTGAAAAAGTTAAGTTGTATATAAGCAATTAATTATTGAGAAATAAAAGTAGCATGAAACAGACTTTCCTTGGAAATTTGTCAAATAATAAACTGGAAAATCAATTCAAAACCAAAACTCAAAAAACGGTGCATGAGAGAACTGAACTTATAGCACAAAGCATCATTATGTGGTGTTTCCCCGAATTTACTGTAACTTCATTGTACCTGCAGTTTAACTGTAGTTGAGCTGAACTTGTCTTTGTTTTAACTGAGGAAACACTGAAAGACAAAGAAAGAAGTGTTTCCTTGCCACTGTCACCAAGCGCTTGCTCATGGTGGGAATTGTTGGGTCTCTGTAAATCATTTTATGAGGAGTACGGTGTAAACCTGCTCTATATACAGTATCCTGAGATAACTGTGATATCTCACCAAACATGTGTCTCGTCAGTGTGATCGTACTGTCAGGTTCATGCCACTGATAGCTGTTCACCCACTTTAAACATGTGATTTCCATCCGGCTAACCGTGTTTGTGTTTGAGTCTGTGCTCCTGAACATTGATGATGGATAACAACCTGTTGGCTGACTCTGACAAAGGAAGCTTTGTGCTGATCTCATCAAGTGCTTCTCCTCTCTGGCTCGAATGACCGCCAGGCAGTGCCGTTTATAACCCATCATCCCATTCTATCTATTAGCAGAGCTTCATTACGTTGAGAATGTAATTATGTTTTAAAGCTCTTAATCAGTTTTTAAAGTTAAGTAAAGTTATTTATCTCCTTATATAGTGTGTCCAGGGTAGCTCCATAGAGATCCAGTATCTTTATTATACTGTTATGTACATTTGTTTTTAAAATTGTTTGTTTACAATAAGTGTTATGTAAGCATAATTAGACATAATTGGTGAACAACTATAACTTCCTGCTACCGATACTCTTAGAAATGGTGGTGCGTATGTGTAGGTCTTCTATTGTGTTCAGTATTTTTTTTTTTTTGTGCAACTGAAGCTGTTTTCATGGTTTGTGTAGTAGCCTGTTTAGGATCGTATGCAGTAACAGATTGGGTGAAAGCTGCCTGTTCAAAGCAGCCATTTCAGTTTCAAATAAAGAGGAACTTCTTTAATCCCACGGCAATTACATTGTTTGCACATGACATGATATATGTTCTTGTACAGACGCTTCTTTTGCTCACACGCAGGGTGTTCTTTAAGTGTCGAACTCTGGTCAGTACTATGGAGAGATGTGTCAGTTTAATGTGTCTGAGTTGATTGTGTGTTTTTCTTTACTGCGCCTGTATTGTTTTCATTATATTTTTATAGTGTGTTGTTACCATCAATCACCTTTCCTTTATGTGACAGAGGAGATGGAGCTTAGTCAGAGCCGGCTCATTTCGGTTACAGCAGTTTCAGCGCTGCCTGGTGCAGAATGTGTCCCTGTTGGCAGATATTCACTGAGTAGTTTGTGCTGTGAGCCCGGGGTGTATTTTCTTCCTCCCTGCCTTAGTTTCCTGATACTGACCACAACTGCTGTCTGGCTGCAACACAACTTTAAGAGTCAATCATGTGCTACTGTTACCACTTGTCTTACAGTAGCTTAACCTAGGACATTGCAACACTCATTCTGTGGCAGTCTGTGCTTATGATTGAGTGATTTCTATGATTAAACTATAAACTGTGTAAACCTTTTGAGGAAATGTTACACCTGAAGTCTGTGCAGTCATCATGATTCAGATGAGGGAAACCCCCCTAACTTGTCTGTGACTGTCATTGTGGGCACACAGTATCAAGTTTAAATGACAAAAACATTCATATTCTCACTTACCTCCTGTGGAATGTATCACTTTTTACACCCTGAGTTTTGCCTCTCAGATAGGATCAGGCCAGATCCTGATTGATAGAGCTTATTAAAGGTGTTAAAGGCATTTCACAATTGCTATGTTGATATAAAGTTAAATAGAATACAACCTTAAATTTGTATTTATCTTAGCTAAACATAACCCCATGAAGGCAAAACATGTAGAACAAATGTGGTAAAAAAGTCACAGAGACGAATAGAAGAATACAAATAAAACACAACACATTAAAACATCATTTACAATATTGTTTAGCAGGAGTTGAGTTTTTGAGTTTAAATGCTGGTTGCACTTGAAATAAATTACCAAAGCCAGCTTATAGCATCTCCCAGATTCCAGATACTCAAACTGAGGAAATAAAGGATTTAGAGTTACAGTTATTATAAATGTATAAAGACATGCAGGAAACAGCTGTCACACTGTCTCCTGCCCGCTGCCATTACCATTTTAACGGTCCTCATCATTGTGTTTCCTGTTGTTCTCCCCTCTTCCTCCGCTGTCAATCTATCTGTCCCCTTCCTTAATCTCCAGGTTATGGTCACACCACTCCTCTGTCGGACACTGGAAAAGCCTTCTCCATCATCTACGCCCTGATAGGAGTCCCCTTCACCATGCTGGTGCTCACCGCCTGCGTCCAGAGGCTCATGTACCCCCTGGTCCTCGCTCCGGTAGGCCTCCTGCAGCGCTCAGGCATTGGGCCTCGGCCGGCCACCATCGTCCACTTCGTGTTGCTGCTGGTTCTGATGGTGTTGTGCTTCTTCGTGGCACCGGCGGCCGTGTTCAGCACAGTAGAGATGTCCTGGTCGTTCCTGGATGGGATCTACTTCTGTTTCATCTCGCTGTGCACCATCGGACTGGGGGATTTTGTTCCGGGGACAAATCCTGGGCAGAAGTACAGGCCGCTGTACCAGGTCACTGTCATGGGTGAGTGCAGTTGTTATTACATCCCTCGATATATGGTGAAGCACAGTCAGACTACAGCCTAGAACATCCACATTGTTTAAGTCATATTTAGCCTTTTTACTTTTAGTTACTCTTTCACACTGATCTCCACTGAAAGTGAAAGAGTAAGAGATGAAACGGTTAATGTCAGTGCGTCTGTGTCCTCACACCTACTCAGTCTATTTACTTGTGTCTTTTTATGTCCTTATTATTGCAGCCAGTTGATGTCTGAATGTTTGTACGGTCCCACAGTGACAGTGTCAGGCTCAAACACTTCCTCCTTTTATAATGCCTGGTCATCTGCAGTAAATGTTTGGTAAGAAGGTGTTGTCTGATCACGGTACAGGATACAATGAGATTCACGTCAGCGCCTGTTTACTGAACCTGGGTCTAACTTATTAGTTTTAAATGCTTACCTACACTAGACAACTCCCCCCATCTCTCAGCACTCCTTAATGTAAAATACTTCTGTCTTTATGACTTATTAATCAGTTCTACTGTATATCATTCTCTTTATATATTTTTAGTTTTTTATAAGTAGCATAATGACCTGAGTTTAATTACACAACCCAGCGTTGTTAAATAATGTTTTATCGTTGTATGTTTTTAGTTAACGCAAGTTCACTCAACATGAAATTTACTATAGACGTGTTGAAAAATGCTGTGGCTTAACATGACTTCCTTTCAGTACCTTCCTAGTTATGATGCAGTACACACACACATTGTTTAAGTCTGATCTTATGTATTATGTAACATCCAGATAACAAAACAAACTGCACTATGCATTAGTGTTCAGTCAGTAAAGTGTACTGCCAGTCCTGTCCAGTTGGTCTGGTTTCATCCCAACACATCATCTATGATACTAATAATCAGCCATTAAAGCAGATATATTCTGGTGGCTCCTGATGGCTGTGCCGTCAGTGTGTATGAATGTGACAAATCCTTATATACCGCTTTTGTGGTCTACTGTCCACTCAAAGTGCTTTACAAGTCAATTTCCCGCCGTCCACCGATCATCACGTGGCGGTAAGGAGAAGACGAAGAAGACTGCATCCTAGTAGACATAAGGCAGGATTTAAAATCTGCTTTGCAAATGTTTTATGAGGAAGGAAATGCATTCAACACATTTGTTAGACCTCAAGGATGCAAACAATGCATTCTGGTGAGTAAAAGTTAATGTAAACATAACTTTTGTTTGTTTACAAGAAAACCCCACAGGTCCCCTTTAAGTAGGGTAGTTTAAATCTTAACAGCTAAGCAAAGACTCAAGAGCTCACCTGATTTTAACTAGACCAAACCTGGTTAAAAACAACATGCAGATAAGCCATAAGGAACAATCTTTTGCCTCATCTGGTAGGAATCATTATTTATTCAGATCCTTTATCAATATAAACGGCATCTTATATGAACATCCAAAAATAATTAGCATAATTTAAAAGCCAAAGTCTGCAAATTCCTACCCTTACTGGTATTTCACTACAGTGGAGACTTTAACGACAAACCCCACTGCACTTGTGGGTATGTTAAAATGAAAGCTCACGAGTCACATGACACACATTGAGTCTGGTGTGGTTTTGTCCTGTGAGGGTCACACACAGCTGCTACATGCCTGCGGAGCTAAAGATGAGAGTCCGACCCGACAGGGTGGCGGCCCGCAGAGCCAGAGAAGACAACCGGTCACACCAATCTCACCGGGAGATGCTCCTCTCTCTGCTGCAGAAACCTTTCCACCCCTTCTTCTTCCAAGAGAGAAAACGACGAGGCACTTTTTATTGTTACGCAAAGGAAAGAGAATGCAATGTCATGAAAAAACGGCTTTTAAAACAGACTTATTGTGACAGGAAAGACATTGGAGGACTTATGATGGTTAGCGCACATTGTATTGTGCTGATGTATAAACAGTTTTTCATGAAGGCAGACGCCAGAGGAAGAGCTGTAGTTGTTTTAAGAGTCTTTCTTGAGAGCACATAACAAACGCTAGTATTTCCAGGATGATTTCTCTTCCTGCTCTAAGGGGAAACTCTGGCCTCTGCAGCCTTCATTCTCACCTCTGATGTGAGAAGTAGCACCTCTCACTGCTTCTCTGTTCTCAGTAGCAAGTCGGGGTTGACAGGTCAGTTCCTCATAAATGAAAACTGCTCCCTGAATGCGTCTGTTAGCTGTCTGGAAATTGAAGTTCACTCTCCTGTGTCGCTCATTTTAAATTAATCCAGCTTTGCAGAGAAAATTCATGAAACAGAAATGAAATGATCTTCAAAGCATCAGTGGCTTTTTGTAGCTTGCTGTATAAAACTTGGAGAGAGTCAGTGCAACAGCACCCTCGATGTAATGTCAAAGGTCAGTGTGTGTGAATCATACAATGGCTTAGATAAGAGAGCATCTTTCACCCCTTTTGGTTTATTTGATTTTAGCCCTGCTAGAAGTATGGCTCTATGGATGACAGTCGGTCAGCCTGTTAGCCGGTCAGTCCACCATTTTGGCGAAAATAAAATATGTAAACTATCTGGAATCAACTGTAAGGCTGCAGTAACAATGATTTTCATTCAGTTAATCTGTGGATTGTTTTTTCTAATTGTTGGCCAAAAAAGATTTGGAAAATAGTGTAAAAATAACCAAAGTGAACAAGATGAAAGTCCAACACAAGATATACAGGTTAGAATTAAATATGACAAAGAAAAGCAGCACTACTTTTACTTGAATGACTGAAACTATTAATTTATCATCAAAATAGTTGCCTGTGCTGTTTCTTTATAGTATATTTCCCATAATAGTAGCTGATTTTGTCATAATTCATCTTGTGAGTCACCTTTCATCCCTTAACATCCCGTTATTCATGATTGGAAAGCTAATGGTTGCCACTGTCGGCTTTAAAATGTTTAAAATGCAGCGTTAAAATGATATCTGTGAGCAGCGCGTCATTGCTAAACCTGTGAAATAAGCAACATAATAAATGTGTTGTGGTGTTACTTAAAAGAACATTGCACATGCAGTTGAAGACTATCAGGAGTGTGTCGGCTTGACGGGGGGGACAAGAAAATATAATTTCATAGTGTATAAACCATTTGGGTGCATTCCCAGTGATATGATTCAGATGTTTATTGTGAATGTGCTTCTTCATTAAACCTCATACTGGATCCCAGTGGTTCTTTTGTTGGTGATTGAGGCATCGCTGTCACATGACGGAGGTTATTTTCATAGTTGTGCTGTTGTTTTCCAGCCTCTGTGCTGGTGTTTCCTCTGTAATTGAATCGGGGTTGGAATGACCTTTTTGTCTAAAAGTAGCCGTGCTGTTGTTTTGTTCCTCTGTGGTCTCAGTCAGGGAGCTCTACAGTGAATATCTGACAGCACTTGTTGAGATGAATGTGGTCTGTGGTCTTTTTTGTCTCTCTCATTCCCCCTGCAACAACTAGTCTAACAAACAAGAAAAATCCACTGTCTGTGATTGACCTTGAGTTTATTTGGCCATTTTTTAAGAAACGTTGTGCTGATATACACTTGCTTTCCCCTATTGTCTGAAATTAGGAGGATTTCTTGTTGGATTTTCTGGTCAGAGGGACCCAGGTGGACACGCTGGAAGCTGCTGAGTTCTCCTCTGTGTGCTAATCCCCTGACTTCAGTTTGGAAGGAGGCCCAGCAGTTCACACGGAGCGGCCGTGTTGTTTCTTCGTCCCACAGGCCGTATTATATAATGATGATGTAGGTCGAGTCAGATTAACCCAAACAGTCCCTGCAGGTTCTGAGGAGGATTAGTGACCGACTGCAGGATGTGGCCTGTTGTTCTTACAGCCCGATGATGTGACGTCTCCTGAAACTCCACAGCTGAAGTTCTGTGTGTTAAAACTGATCATACGTACAATTTTCGGTCTGAGATTAATGAATTTACCAGCCTGAAATGATAGATGAATATATATTCTAGAAATTACATTTTCACACATAAATCTCTTATCACCAGCCACCGTGTTGTCAGTGGAGGCAGTGGATCTCATTCTGCAATGAAGCTCTTATTTCTTCTTATTGTCCACCAATAATCAATACATTATCATCATATACTGTGTATTCTGAAGTTGTGCAATGCCAAGGACCCAAACATGTTGAAACTCCCCCGACATACTGTTGACTGTGCGAAGTTTAAAACTGCTGTTTTGTGACCGCACAGCATTTCTAGTGTTGCTGAAGAGCAAATATTTTGGGACAGTAGTTCGGAGTTTGGACAGTCAAAGTCCTTTTAACTCATCAAGTTCTTTATCTCACCACAGTGAGTGCTTCAGTGCTACAGTGATTCATTAAAGGTGATGTAAGGAGTTGTTATTTTTGCCTGTTTTTTTTTTTTCAATAGTCTTAATCTCTCCTCTAAGCCTGTAGACTGAAAACATTTCAGACCGAAGTTGATCATATACAACCAGCAGGTGCTGAGCTGTGCATGTCCCACAGTGAGTGTGACGTACTCAGGCCTCAGTAATCCTGCACTGTTTCTCTTGAAGAGTTGGCCTACTTGTGTAGTGAGAGACCATTGTCCAGGACCTGAACTCTGCTGGCACTTTAGTGCATACATGTGACAGAAGAAAACCACATGTATTTTCTTTAAGGCAAACACAAGAATCAGAGCAGAAATAACAAATGTGGAGCACATTTAGTTTTCACCTTTGCCACCAACTCGAGGGCACTTCTGTCCTCCTTTTTTGGTGAAATGGATTTACTAAAATAGTTTCCTCTGTCCACGGTCCAGTGTGTGTCAGACTTTTTTCAGAGCTTAAGGAGTCATAAACAGAAGATTTATATCAGTTAGACCAGTAGGAAACTGCTGTTATCAGGTCAGTCTTCTTCTCTGTGATCATCAATATCAATATGTAGAATATAAAGAATATTGTTTCACATTTTTTCTTTTTTTAATTTCATAATTCCATTCTAATTAAAAGTACTCAATACAAAGCTGAAAAGTTTCTCTGGACTGACCTGGTGGAAGCCTTCCCCTCAATGTGTGTCAGTGGGTGCGGTGTGGGTGCACACTTGGTTGGCACAGTGCAGCTAGGTGTGCGTGGTTTCTTACGTTAACACAATACCACACAAACCAACAGCATAGTAACCCATTCAGACTAAATAGACTAAATGTATGTCATGGGTTTTGGTTGCTGAATTCAAATGGAAACGCTCTCTGCGGCTAAAAGCTGTAAAAATAAAGTTCATGAACCTGCTGTTCGATTATCAGCTGATATTCAGGTGAGAGACGGCATTAGACCTTCGCTCCGTTTAAGCGGTTTTCCCCATCCTCTCCACTACGTAATAGGCGGCACAACAAATGGACCGCAGTTTGTTCTACTTGCAACCCACTAACTCTCAGCTGCTGTTTATAACCAAGCCAGCAGTTGTGTGACACGGTAATGCTCATAAGACCTCAGAAAATAAAACCTGTTTGACTGGTTTAAAAAACGGAGAGACAACTTTATTATTTGACTGTATTCTTCTCCAGAGTTACAAAAGCAATCTAAAGCATTTCCATTTGTTAAAGCATTGAAACATGAATCTTTGCTAACTCTGAAAAGGGGGACAACTCACACACATCAGTGGGCATTTGATCAATGCAAAAATAAAGCAGACAATGTTCCCAGATCTTATACAACTCAGTGGTTTAGTTGTTAAAGTTTGAGCCACATTTCATCTTATTTTATGAAAGGTGAAAAGTCAGCTTCATGTATTGACTTCCTTTTGTAAAAGTATATAAGCGCATTGTGTTGTTGACCCGTCTCTCTGTCCCTCCCCCCAGTCTACCTGTTCGTGGGTCTAATGATGATGTACCTCCTGCTGCGCACCTTCCACAAAATGGCCGACCTGCACGGCCTGACCACCTTCCTGCAGCTGCCGCGCTGTGAGGAGTCCGACCTGAATGAAGACACGGAGCCCATTGTGGAAAATGAACGTCAAAGTCAGAAAGAAAAAGCTGCCAGAAAACCCCTGGAGCCGGGATCTCAGCCCTCGTACAACACCATCAACAAAGGCTGAGCTGTGGGGAGGCAGAGGGAAGGAAAAGGAGCTCTACCTCTGGCGATAAAACACCCCGACTGCTGGGCTGAATCTGAATTCTTGTCTTCATTTTTTTTTTTTTATTTTGTCTTCTCCAGTGTTCTCATTAACAACATCCAGAGGAGTAAGCATAATAATAATGAGGAATCAAGATAAGTTTTAAGATTCAGCCTTTGTGAGAGGGCACTATGCAGTTTGAGTGGTTACTGCCACTTTCTGCACATATGAAAAGACTGTTCTAACGTGACTACAGCAACCCGGCTGGGCTAAAAGGCACAGACGTACCTTTCTCCTCCTGGACACTGGTGCAAGTGTGGTGTGTTCACCGTACAGGCTCGGCTGGTGTTTTTACGGCCTCAGGATGGCACACGAAGGGTTCAGACTTGTGATGGTTGTTTTCCGGTTATGTTTATCTTTGCATGTATTTTTGTCACGTTGCTTTTTTTGTGCCACAGGTTTGGGTTGATAAATCAGGACTAACAAATACTGTGTATAATTGTGCTGAAACTAAATCTTCTTGGTGCAGAACACAACCTGTCACTTGCCTTTTCAACTTCACCAAAAATCTTTTTACACGTTTAACTGCTTTTGTTGTTATTCAGGTGTATTGTTCAGCTTTATATTTCACACATGCACATCATGGCCAAAACACCTCCAGATTATTGACCAAACCAAAGTTGTATTTATAGCCAGGAGTGGCCTTTACTTACGTTATCCCCACCTAAATGCATCTTTACAAGCATGAATGTTCACGAGTGCAGTGAATCTGGTACAACTTTAGATCACTTCCTCAAATAAAGGTCAGATGTGGACCTGCGCGGAGCATTTAAAACACCGGGGACCTGAACTGAAACCTGTTTCATATTTAATTCGATTTCCTGTGTGAGTGGTAACCTTTGTGTGTCTGGGTCAGCCTTGAAGAGAACAGAGGAGCGCTGTGTTTGCCTCAGGACTGTCCTCCTTTATGGTGCTTCCCCCTGGTGTCTATATGTATGTAGTGCATGTTATCTCACCTCCAGAACAGTAATGAATTAGGGTCAAAGGGTTGGAATAGAGGGACTGAGGAAAATTACAATTTCAATTAAAGTAAACAGTGTTTCATTGTAGTGATTGAGACATGATTTATTTCAATGGAAAACCAAATGTTACTTATCAAACAACTTGTTCTGTGTGATTTGAAATGTACTTTAATGTTATCAGTTATTTTTCTTTTACCACCAAAGTTGAAGTCAGGCTAATTGTATCCAGATACTGTAAAATGATTTATATGTGTGTATGTTAACATATTGACATTGGATAACCATACATTTAAAAAAAAAAAAAAGGTTTGCTTTGTATTATGTTTGTCATGTTTAACCTTGTTATCCTCATCTGAGACATTTTGTACAGTAAACTCTGCCCTAAATGGAATTTGCACATCTTGGGAGGTTTTGAAGTTTTATTAAGCATTGTAAAATGTTCAAAACGTAACTGAGTTTTACAGACATTACGAATTTGAAGCTGAGAGCAGACTCACTGGGTCTATTTCCAGTAAAGAAATGGTGTGTTACGAGGTGGATATCTACCTAACAAGTGTCGGAGAGCATGAAAACATGTCTTTCAGATTGATACAAAAAAAGATGAGTTTCCTTAAAGTGAGAGGTGACTGAGTGAAGCTGCCTACAAGGACCCACATGTCTGTCAAAGGTCCAGTATTTGTCTAGTATAGTCCCCTGTATTAGAGGTTTTTGGTTATTTTGTTCAGATAAGTCAGATATCCTGAATGATCTGCTCAACTCCATATTTCTATTATTCTTTGTAGGTTTCTGAAGCTGAAGTGTGATCATAATACCCAACTTATTTAAAGTGTCTTTTACAAGGGAGCAGTTCGCCCTGGAGGTGGAGGAAGTGAAACATGTCTGGTAAATGCTTTCACTTTCATGATTCTCTAAATACACCTCTGCAGCTTTGCTCCAGGAAATACAAAAATACAGCATCAGAGGAGGTTTGAAGCCACAAAAACAGTAGAATTCCATTTTCCCCAATCGTCTGTTCCCAAAACTGAAATACCTGCAGTAAAATGTATGTGATGCTTTTTGAATGTAAATTAAATCGTGTTTCACAAAGAAAACTCAGCATGATTTCATTTTCACATTTATTAAAAATGTCAGTGTAAGTAAACAGACATTTGCTTTCTTTAAAAAAAAAAAAAGTCTAAATACATAGTATCTCAAATTCAAAACATAAGCATTAAAATATTTGTAGAGAAAATAAAAGTAAATAAAATAACTGCCATGACGGTATATTAATACACCATTAGTGAATTGTCAAATATGTTATGACATTAAATTACTCATCTTGTTAACAAAATATGCTGTTTATAAATAGTTTGAGCTATTCAGAAAGGACCTTTGCATAGAAAGCAACTCCATAAACGAGACACAAGTACAAAAACCTGACAAACAGGCCACACGTGCTTCCTCAAACGATCTCAGCGTTGGTTTCAAACGCCGGATCAACATCTATAGCTGGTTAACTTACAGTTAAAACACCTTTAAGTGTTCAACAACATTCACAGAACATTTAATAGGACACAACATTATGGGTTCAAAGGGAATCATTTGGCCAAATCTCGCCTGCTCACTGAATACAGAGTGAAACACAATCCATTAGAAATGCATGTTATTAACAAAAGTGCAATAATTCAGATGTAAACCAGACAAACCATGTGACTCCCACTAAAACAAGCAGAAATTGACCCAATGATGAGCGAATGACTGTTCACAGGGTGGAAGTCAGCGCCGCCAGGACTCCGTCAGCCAATGTGGCTCAAAGCGCGGCGCTGAACTCCCACCAGGACCGAGCAATAACATCACATCTGTACATCAGAAGCTGTTGCGTAGTGGCTGTGACTTTAGCTACAGCGGCTCTGCACTGCAGTACTGTGAAAGGCTCTTTGAATAAAAGCTTTTAAAAGAACAACCACGTGTTGCTGCGTTTCCTGAGCTGCAGCTGCACTCAGACTCTCTGGAGGAGGAGACAGAGATGTAGTTTCACTCTTTTCAGCCTGAAGCAGGGACAGAGTTTAGAAGCATTAACTGAGTAACTGTTTACATTCAGGAAATGTGTCGTACTGCTGCTTACTGAAATATAACTGATGATAAACTGAGGGATACAAAGAAGAATCATCCAGTTACAGAGAACATTCAAGAATTATACTTTACACTTTTCTGGTTCTCGAGGATTTCAAACCACCTGATATCACAAATATTCAAACGTTTTTTGATGACCAGGAAGCACATTTTCACGGGTGCTCCTGCTGTTTAAAAATCCCAACCTGATCTCTTAGCACCTGATATCACGGCCCCGTTATAACTCACTGAGAAATACGTGGTTAAAGGATTTTCTTCACAGAAGATTTTGCCCATAATATTAGTGTTTTAGCCAAATCGCATTCTCTCTGAACTCACATTAACATTTTACACCCAACGTTCGGTCCGCTGCTCGAATCCACAGCAGTACTTCACTCTGCTCACACTCCACATGAACCGGGATGTTCAATGTGAACGCAGGTTACTTGAAGCTGTGATGCATTTGATACATCTGCTGAATAAATCCTGCTCTCTGAGGAGAATTAGCCGAGTCATGCTGGAAAGTGAAGTAAAATGTTTTTCAGCAGTTCATTATGTGATGACTCACTGCTTAGTCATTTAGAAAGAGACTCAGCCTTGTCTGCTTTACTTCCTGCACAGTTTTCACTTCCATTTTTGCCGAAAAACCAAATGCATCACAGCGAATACTCCTGCTCGCCCACCTGTGGACATCAACCATCTCTAAAGCTTCTCTCACTACTTTCTAAAGCCCATAATACACAATTTCTTCAACAATACAGAACAAGAAAGAGACTGTTGGATCTGTTTGACAGCCCGGCCCTTTGCTTTGAGAATTCAGTTTTTGTCCACTACGTGAACCGTGTTCAGGTTACTTCCTGTTGAAATGGATTACAGTGTGAGGATGATGATGAGGATGATGATGATGATGATGAGGCCATCAGGACTCCACCAGGATCTCCATCAGATGCTCCAGCTCAAGTCCGTCCCTCGTGTGATTGGGACCGGAGAAGGGCGGCGTGGAGAAAGAAGGTGAAGAGGAGGACGACGGGCTGAACGAGGAGAACGACGGCAGGCACTTCAGATTCTGGTTGAAAGAGAGGGAGAAGGGATGCAAGGGGGAGGAGGAAGAGGAGGAGGAGGAGGAGAAAGGCGGCAGGTACCGTAACAGGTCGTCCCCGGCCGGGTACCCACCGCCGCTGCCTCTGAGCCCGAGCACGCCCATGTCCCTCTCCAGCAGGGACGTGTCTATGTCCTGGAACAGATCCTCCACAGTGAGATCACTGAGGTAGCTGGACCTCATCGCCTCCACTCTGCACTCACCCTGCGGCTCCCAGGTTCCCCCGTAACCTCTGACCCCCTGTTTCACCCACGCCACGCCTCCCTCAGAGGGCCCCGACAGGTTCTCCAAGGACCTGAGAGGCGTCCGCTGAGCTGCCTGCGGGCTGCCGTCAATAGTGGAGTCCAGTGCGGTGAGAATGGAGGAGATGGCGGCCGAGAGGGAGAAGTCAGGATCCGCGGACATCGATCCCCAGTCCTCATCTTCGTCTTTCACACACTGAGGGACGTTTTGGACGCTCGAGTGGCAGCTTGCTGGAGACCTACTTGTGGCACAATTTGACAAGTAATTCAAAGAAAGGAGAGGACAGCTGGTGAGAGAGGAGAGGTGTACTGCTGCAGGCGAAGAGCTACACGGCGGCTGCGACACCTCTCCGTCCTCAGGGGGCGCCACACACCCCTCCAGGCTGACCTGCCGCAGCGTGTTGGCGATCAGAACAGACCTCCGCAGGCTGGGTTCAGGTAGCTCCTGGCCACGCTGGTACTTGTTGAGGGAGACGGAGAACACGAACTGGCGCTGGCTCTCCCAGAAAGGGCTGCCTCGGTCCGACGCCTCCACGTCCTCTGGTGGCAGTTTCCGCTTCTGCGCCTTCATGATCATCTTCAAACTGCGGAGGAAGGGTCAAAGCGTTACTTAACACTGCAGCTACTGGTCACATATTGTACAAGAGTTCTTAGTGGAAGAATGAGGGTTTAAAAAACTACAGAAGAGTGGAATAAAATCAAAATACTGACGTGATGAAACACAAAAAGCGGATAAAAGTCTGTGGTAAAAGTTTGTCTTCTTCTAATCAGTAAACTTGTACAATATATACTAACAACTTATTGTAAAATTGTATTTTTTTATTTAATTTTGCTGACTTTTCCTGATTTTCTTCCCGTTTTATTGGATTTTTTGATTGTGCCAGCTTTATGATTTCTGATAGTTTTCTTCACATTCAAATGGCTGAATATTATATATCTGTGGCATAACATGGTCTTAAAATGACAATAATATAATTTACTGCAGTTATTTCAACAAAAAGTAGTTAATGTGACGGGTTTATCAGTAATAAAAATAAGTAAAGTTACAGCCAAAGACTGACACAGTGGATAATAAAGGCAGCAGTAGAAATTTAAAAGTAAACTACTCCTGTTAAGACAAATATCTGGAATAAATTAAGGTTTTTTTAGGACAAATTGAGACTTAAACTACTGGAATACTAACTATTGTTTATTAAATGTTGATAAAAAAAGTGATAATGTCAGGCTTTAATCAAGGTTTCCACACACATCTCTGATAAGTCAGCAGAAAGTGTGGGTTGGGGGTTGCAGCGTTTAGTCTCATCGTGGAGGAGGGAAACAGAAAAACCTCTCAAAGGAAGCCATAAACTGCAACCCAACAACAACTTAAACCCACTTCAGTTAGCTTCGTAGTTTAACCAACTAAACCAGATATTAAACTTTAAAACACAGCTCGACTGTAAGAAGAAAAACCGACCTGTTGAATCACTTCCCGTCTCTCCTCTCGGTAAGTTAGTCGTTGCTGCTGGTTAGTAAACTCGTTGTTCTGCTTCCTTTCGACCCCAAAAAAACACTAATTTAACATCAAACGGTTATTAAACTCGTTCAGGAATCAGTCGGCGATTAAAAACAATCTTAAAACAACTCGTTCGGCTTCAAACTCTTAGCGTTACAACTTAAGTTTGTCCAACCGACTGACTCGGATCTTCTCCCGCCAGTGATTTGAGTTTCTCGCCAAAACGCTTACGGTTGGAGGGGGTTGGATGTACCGAAGGGCATCATGGGTATTGTAGTTTAACGTGCGTTACGTGCCCTCAGAGCAATTTCACGTAAGAAAACCCGCATTAAAAACACCCTTTAAACTTATTTATGTGACACATATTGTAATTTATAATTATATAACACGCACGCCTGTTTTTATTAACTGACTCGTTAACACCCAGACCGGATTGTCAAGATTGTCATTATGTAATCTGCATAGCACTAATTCCTAAATGGTTACATCACCGAGAGAAGAGGGATTTCTATCTGCATATTGTCTTTGAATACAAAGTACTACAATGTGTGTGTGTGTGTGTGTGTGTGTGTGTGTGTGTAAGCTGAGCTGTACTTCCTGGCAGGTTTTTATTTAAGTTAATGTTTAAATTACAGCTAGACTTCTGTAAGAAAATACCAAACTTCCAAATTAGGCTACTAAATCGATTAATGAATCAAAAACAGCCTGTGGGATTTAAACATGTACACATTTTACTGACAATATAACCATAGAGCAACAATAAAAAAACAACAACATATGCATGTCTACTGTAAAAGTATTATTAACTCTTATAATAAAGGTGCAAAGGTTGTCTAAATCAGCTTTATCTGAGGCGGAAACGGTCATTTACCTGAGCAACAGTCGTCAGGGAGGAAAACGGTGAAGTTCACACTGTAAACCAGCAACATGTCAGTCAGGAGTTTACGGTTTCGATTTAAATTCCACAAAACAGTCAACTTTAAAAAACAGCTTTAGCTCCTCCTCAGCTCATTTATTGGACAGCAGAGGAAAACAGGGGGAGCAGGAAGCCAACACACTTCCTGTAGGCTCCTTCAGACTAAAAACACTAATTATTAGTGAGTCTGTTTCAAGTTATATAATATATTAATATATTTCACATTGATTCTATTTATTATCTTGATGCTGTCGATGCAGACTGTTTTAAACATTATGGTTTTTCCATAAAACAGCATAATTGCTTAAAAATAATTTTAAAAAATCCAGAATCTATGACTATGGAGCTTTTTTTTATTTATTAAAAAAGTTCAACTACAGGACACAAGATGTCTCCTACTTCACTGTAACGTTTAGCCATAGTAGTTCATTCTTTTAGTTAGTTAATTCTTAGGCTATAAGTTGATTCCTCTGCACCATTGCATTGTCTACTGTATACAAATGTTTGTTTTTTAGATATGTATAACTGCACATATAAGTCTGTGCCTTTTTTGTTGAACTTGTTCTGTTTATTTATGCTGTCAGTCTGTGTTTGTACATTGAGAGCAAACGTAAAACCAGAATCAAATCCCTTTTACGTGCACACATACCTGGCCAATAAAAGTGATTCTGATTCTGAAGTTGCATATTTGACCACGACTGATTTCCAAACTATTTCTGATGTAAATTCTGCTGGTGTGTTAAACTCACGAGTTCACAGATAAACTTTCCCTCCTACATCAGCAACTGTCTTCTAGTGTCAAACTCTGCACAATGAAGCTCAAACATTCAAGTGAAGTTACAGTAAGCAAAACCCATTTTTTTTAATGGAGGGAGACTTACTTTACGTTAGCAATGTCTAACAGAATGGTGCTAAACTTGGTCTCTGGCCTTTAATAAAATCAACTGGTTTTATTCTGAAGGAGGAAATGGCAGGTTTCCGGCATTGTGCTGCCTGCCCTTGGTCTATTTGACACTTGATACAGAGAGAGAGTTGCACAACAGCTACACATGCCACTCATCTGACTGACTGCTTGTCCTTTTCATAGGACAGAGACTCACATGAGGTGAACTGTAAGAGACAGAGAGAGAGAGAGAGAGACTAGATTAATGTTTCCAGTATTTTTATACCAAAAATGAGGCCAAATACCCCCCTGACCCCTCCCAAAAAACACCAAATTACCACAAAGACTCATATCTATATGTATCTATATATATATAACGCTGCTACAGTATGTACTGTTACAGTGCAAACTCCATATATAGATCTAGAGACAGAAATAACTCCACGGTTACATGCCGTTTAACATTTTGAGAAATGCATTGAGGTGAGAAATATAGTCTACTGAACATAATGTAACCAATGAATATGTATTATAATATATACATGGTTTCTAAACCTGCATCCAATAGTGTCATAGCTACATTGACAAAATAAAAGTACTCCCATTAATATAATTAATGGAGCTTTTTTCATGTATGTCATTTTTTCTCATCCTTAATTTATTCTAACTTTCATTACAGACTTTTTAAGTGAGTGCTGAATTTAAGTATAAGGTGAGAATCTCTTTCACTGCTTTGGAGATTTGCAAAGGTATTGATTGTCAAGGTGCTTTATTCTGAAAAGCTTCCTGTCAGGATGCCAGTTTGGTCCTTTCTCAGTGCCTAAAGGTGCATAAATTTGAGTAGAATATCTGAGTTCACTATCCACCTCTGATCTAGTTTATTACCCATTTCATCTTGTTGTTTTGTAAAGCCTAATGTAAATGACTGTGTATAAATATTACAGTTATTATTATCATTGTTGTTTTGTCACTCCAGCAACAAGAAGCCTGCAACCGTTCATTCACATGACACTTTTCAGCACAAACATTTGTACAATAAAGTCTTTTATTTCCAACAGCTATAAAAAAACCTACTGTAAACCAGAGCAGCGACAGCCGGAATCACAAGACAACAAACAAATCCTTCAATATGTAAAGACTGTTTATGTAAAAAGACAGAACTGATGTAAAGAGCTACAGCTAAAGCAGTAGTACAGGTTTGGCCCTTGTATTAACTGGTGGAAGCTGATGATAAAATTGAAATTAGTATAAAAATCACTAAGCAGAAACAGCTCAGTTGTGATTCTAAAGGTGAACATAACACACTAGTAGTTTGAATCTAAATAGAAAGATTCTTTTTAAGTCTCAATATAAACAAATACCCTCTCTTTAGTGTGTTTTTGGTGGAAATAAAGAATAACGACAGGAAGATTTAAACCCGTTCACTGTCCTGAAGGCATCAGTGGCGTGTTGTTTAGCATTATTTATAATCTCCCCACACTCCGACAGCCTTGCCGTCCCACTCTGAGGTGGACAGACACTTGACGAAGAAGTGTCCCAGGTCGTGTTTGGAGATAGCTCTTCCTTTCAGCATGTTCTCCGCCGCCGTGTAGCGCTCTGTCAGAGGAAGGTCGTCTGGAGGGAGCGAGACAGTAAAACAAATGAAACAGGAAATAATAGAACATGAGATACTTTTGTTGGATCAATACTGAGGATTCAAACATTCAAAACAAAGGAAGTGAATTTACAGTGTCTCACAGTGTTTTTTCTGATTAGACTGTCATATTTCTACATTTCTATTCATATATTGTAACATTTATCACTGAAATAAAGCAGTCTACAAATATGTGTGAGGTTTTTTATAGTTTTTTAAGAGCTGTAAATTATGTCTGATTTAAATGTTTTATTTGTTTTACTTTGCTTTGGATCAAATTCACTCAAAATAATGTCTAGAGCTGCACTTTTATGCCAGAAATATTCTTTGAAAGTGTTGTCTTATACTTTTGTTTGGAATAAAGCTCTGTTTTTCTACTTCTCACTGACCACCAATGTGAGGAGGCATGACGGCCACGTAGTCCAGCCCCGATGTTTTGAGTATTGTGTACATCCTGTCGTGGTCCTCTGTCACAGGAATCATGCGGGGCGGGACTTTGGCGCGATCCCACAGCAGGAAGGCTAGGAGGGATACGGATAAAGATGAAGAAAATAGAATATGCATACAGCGATTGCAGTAATTAATAGGATGAGTGGAGAAGGATGCAATTAAGGCATTATTAAACCTCATGTGAAGAGGAAATGAGTGGAGATGAAAGAGAAGCGGAGAGAGAAGTTTATTTCCACTTACCTCCTTTGCACAGATGTTTGTCACATAAATTAAATCTTTATTCTTATCTAATCTATATTTACTTTCCTTCTAGTTTTAAATCGGCTTTTGTTATCACTCAGAAAGAAAGGGCAATTCAATTACATACAAATGTATATATATGAGATTCACTTGTCTAATGCACTGCTCATTTGAAGCCAACAGAGGCTTAAACAAAATGAAAAGACTTTTTATTTCACCACCTCATCTACTCTATCATCATACAACGGTACCTGACATGCAGCCGACCACTTTGTGGATCCCACGAGCCTTCATGCCGTCAACGATGTTCTTGGTGCCTTCAGACATGACGGTGGTTGCGCCTGATGAGCACAGGTCAGATCACAGATCAGTTCACAGGCTCGTACCGAGGTGGAAAGTAATTAAATACTCTAAAACTGTAGTCGGGTAGAGTTTTGAGACACTGGCACTTTACTTAACTACAGTATTTCTTAGTGGCTGACACTAAACATTTGCCTCCCTGTATTTCAGAGAGCTATTCTATCAAAGAGTAAAGTGAAAACACAAGATTAAAACTCATTAACTGTGTTCATTTTTAGTAAATAGAGTATTTAGATGAGAAGACCAACATTAAAAACCTTCATTAAAAGCATCAATAATTTATAACTCAAAGGAAGTGTTCTGTTACTGAAGGGAAATGTGATCTATCATAGTGTTGAATAAAGTCCTGTTATTTTATTGTTCTTCTTTGTGAATCTCGTATTCATGTTGTCTGTATGTTGCTTTGAGTGTATAAGCTGATGTATCTGCAATTAATAAGTCAGTCATTTATTGAAACATGGAAATGGACTGTTGGACATTTTCTTTAGCATAAAGTCATATCCACCTTTTCACGCTGTCACAATGAAGTCACATAAAGTTATATGTTGTATAATCTTATGGCGACCTCTAGTGAATGTTTTACATTATTGCACCATAAAAACCCACAGTCAATTCTGTATAAAAGGGTCAGTTATGTAAGGAAACATGAACATTAACAATCAGTGCAAAGAAATATTGTACATTGATAAGTCAGTGTAAACGTGTGAGAAGCCCAAAGCACCAACAGTAAGAGAAATGCTGCAACTTTGGGACAGTAAATTCAAAACCACAGAGAAATTTTGATTAAATTTGATTAAGGCAATGCCATCATGTATGTGTATGTAAAAAAGATAGAAAAATATAAGTTTTCTTTGCCTAGGAAAGACTTGCACTTTGTCTTCTTCCCTTATAATATCTGTGGGGCCTTACTGAGACTGTTCCTGGTGCCGAGGATGATGATGACAGCGTCCTGGCCTTCCAGTGCCCTCTTCACATCCTCTTTATTAAGCACGTCTCCCACCTCCACTCTGGATGCCTTGTGGTCGGCGGGCAGCCTGGCAGGGTCCCGCACCAGCACCGTCACACTGTATCCTGATGCAGGAAACACGGAAATGAACCAACGGATCAACAGAGACGCAGCAGAAACAGGCGCTAATCGTGTATCTGTAATGTATCTAACGCCATTTCAGGCAACAACTGCTATCAGCATAATGTAATTAAAGTATCAAAAACAGAAAAATAGTCCCTGTTAGTGTCTGACTATTAAATATGATGTTTTTGGATTAAAATTACAGCTGTGTTAATGTGCATGTTGCATTTTAACGCTGTAGACGTTTAAGTTTGACCTCTTTTTAACTACTTTATATCCTGTTGG